TCTGACTTTCTTTCCTCTTTTGGCCAATAGGTTTTTACTTCCTTTTAGGACTTTGCAGAAACTGAAATTATACAAACATTTAAACAAGATGAGAAGTTAAAACCATTAATTAAAAAATTTCCTGATATTTTTCACTTGCATTCCTGTTTGTCTTGCCAAATATGGGAAAATTATTTTAAAGGTAGGGAGATAATCCATTGGACATATGTATTTGAACACCTTATAAAGAACCAGTCTACATATATATGTGCGTGTATTTGTGCATAAATAGGTACAATACATATGTAGGTACTTTGGTAGGTAAAGAACAGAAAATGAAAGAGGAGAGACACAGAAAGAAGAAAATATGCAAATAACTTCAGAGTAAATGACATTATATTTTTTATTTATCCTTTACTTCCAATTGCATTGAAATTGCAGAGTTGCTAGAATTTAAACACCCATGTACTCAAAATAACTGCAGGTATTTAAAGCTGTGCACCTCTTGCTTTTCAGAGGAAGCTGACCCCTGCTTTTATCAGCTACTAAATAAGCTATTTTTAAAGTATGTAAATTGCACTATAAAGTAGCTCTATTGGATTTCAAGCCCTTCATAATGTGGATGTCAACTATATTCAGCTCTACCTCACTTATATCTAAGTCTTATTTTAAACCATAGATTCCTGATCCTCGCTGTGGATATAGACACTATTACAACATGAATGTTTTTATGTATCTATGTGTACAAAAGCAACATTTTTTTTTAAACTTGAAAAGCCACATTTTCAAAGCTTTGCCTATACTACATCCTCTGTATTTACAAAACCACCTAAGCATACATGCAAAAATTGCTGGCCACGATAACAAGCGAGCCAATGCCCTCTGTTGTGCTTACTATGTATATAGCATGCTGCTGGATGATGAGGAGAAAAGAGGGAACATAACCTTGCCAAGTCTTGGAAAGGCAAACACCGAGAATGTTTGCTCCTAGTCCAGGAACTCCACCGATGTGTGCTGAGGAAAAGGATTCAGGAAAAGGCTTGTCACTTTTGCCAAATACTGCTGTTGCATGAGTTCCATCACACTGAGCATGCATTCTTCTCAACGTACATACGCATAATACATGTGTATACATATATGTATACATATTTGTACAGGTAAAACCGCATAAATATCAACTCAAAATACAGATATTTATGTGTGCATGCATACACAAATACATTCTCATATGTTGTCTGAACTCTAAGATCAATACTTATACACTCTAATATATGAAGGTCACTCTTAAAAATGTAAGACTATTTTTAGGATTGACCTTGTGTCTAGAAATCAGGTTCTTGTCTAGCAAACAGAAAGACACTTCATCCTAAAAAAGTTTGCAGACTGAATGTTGCCAATTTGCTCTCAATGAACTAATTCAAGGTTCCAGTCCATGAAAGTAAAATATGTATTATTAGTATGATATCCATATCAGTGGGAAATGCTGAGTTTTAAATATGTCTGGCTGCAGATACTAGGAAAAAAATTCCAGGGAAGGGAGAACACTGCCTACTTTTAGCTTCTGTATTCTCTCAATGCCTTGTCCAATTTGTCTTACATCTTCATGGAAAAAACAATTTTGCCATAGGTCTTCAACAATGTTGAAATTTCATTTCATCAAACAGTAGAAAGCAGTGGACAAAAGAAAATAGAAGTCTGGTTTCTATTAGAAGGTTCATGCAATGCCTGACTGGTGGAGAGACTTGTGTCTTTCCATAGCATGTTTAACATTTAAGGACCAGGAAAATGACTGAATTTTCTTCTTTTTTTTTGTGGGGTTCTTGTTTGGTTTTTTGTGGGGTTTTTTGGTTTGTTTGTTTTTTTAATTCTGAATTTAATATTACAGTTTTAACCAATTTTATGGTAGGTGTTTTTTTCCTTAGGAATTCTAGTAGCTGAGCAAAACAGAGAAATCACCTACTAACTGAAAAAATGGGAAGTTGTTGCTGGGATCATTGGGGTTTTCTCAAAGTTTCGGAAAAATAGACTACAAATCTACAAATTTTGTTACTGTTTTCAACTGTTTCATCCATTCAAATGATGAACTGCACTTTCTGTATCTGTATTTACATGAGATGTTGATATGCCACCTTCCTACAAGATTTTTAATTATTTTTTATTATATTTTCAGCCATTTTCTCTGTAATTTTATGGTTTATGTTATACTTTAGCTTCAATGAACTGCCTATTAGCTTACCACTCTATATGGAAGCTGATGCATTCTAAGATCTCCTCCGGGTCCTCCGTATAACTCTGTTCCAGTGGTGGTGTTTTTATTTAATTTTTTTTACAGGGACTTTTGATTCATCCTGTACATCTAATTTCCCCCATATAATATCAGTAAAAGAGAATATAGGAGCGGGATGGTTTCCTCCAAACAGGGGGTCTCCTTCTTGGCTTTGATTTGCTTGGCAATCAGAGATTTTGTGTACAGTCTCGCACAGCAAAAGGTGAGAAATGCAGAAGCACTGGCTTTTAACAAAAATACAGACAACAGCAGGAAGTCTTCTCTGCCCAATTACAAGGTGATCCCAGTTCATTTTTATGGTTTGATTTTTTTTTATCACATATGTTTCCAAACACAGTCCTGGTATCCTGTGGGGATGCTTTTGTAAAGAGCCAGAGCTTCTGATTTAAGGAGCTTCAAAAATAACTCTCTGCCTCTTCTGTCTGGAAAAGAGCAGACATGTAACAACACATTTATTCTCTTTGAAAAATAGAAGGATGTCAAAAGAAAAGTTCACAGTGAAATTAGGCTGATTTGTTTTGTGGTCCTGTGATTTTGGCTTCAGATGTAGAAGGGAAAAAACAACAGTTTGTTTAAAAGGCAAAAATTACTATTAAAATGGATTTCATGCTCAGAAAATTCCTTTGCCAAATAGACACTCTCATCAATTATACAAGACCCCTGGAAAAATATAAATAAAAAAGGCAAGCTAGATATCCATGGATGGATTCTTTTTCCCTGTAGTCAGTATACATCTCAGCCCTCACATTCAGAGAGGAAAAATCTCATTAATTTTGATATAAATGATCAGCATTTCCCACAGATTTCCTCTCTGTTGTGATGGATGCTGAGAGCCTTCTATTATTTCCTTCACCTAGTGAGAACAGCTCCCACTGATGTCAATTGGGAGGAGTTGCCATTTGGGACACAGTGAGAAGTCATCAAGGCATTCCTAGGTGTGATTTTTTTGCAGGTAGGACCACCCAGAAAAGCACTGCCCAGGGTACCAGCACAGCTCACTCTGTAAATTTTATGCAGCTTCCTCCCACTGCATCATCTGAATAATTGCACCCTGCATATCTGCATTAATGAATCCCCTCTCTACAAAACTCACAGAGTAAATTACCCAGATGGTAAAAGAGAATGGCATGGCCATCTTCCTCCTCAGTGTGCTAAGTCAGCCCAACATGCATATAATGATGCTAACACAGGTGGGAGGTGGACACCCAGATGGTGCGGTGGCTCATCTTCAGCATTTCCACTTGTGTGGCAAGTATGATTTTATGTCCCCTGGAGACTTACTTTAGGCTCACAGGGATGCACTACGTAGAGCTTAATGATAGACAACTTTCTCCTAATGATGTGGCTTACACCAATTTGTGTTTATCCAGCAACATTTCCCTTTTAAGCAGGTGGACTCTTCTGTCCCTAGGTAGTACGCCATTCCCTCTCTCCCTCTCTCCTGCACACAATGTCTGAAACCACCACATTAGAAATAAAATGCAAATCAAACAAAAAATGGAAAGCAATTTGAAGGTCCTGTCTGCCAAAACTGAGACCTAGCTCAGAATGCAGAGTGTCCTCTGTGTCCAGACGCATGAAGGGAAGCCCCCTATATTCTCAAGGGCAACAGGGGACAGGCAGTCCTTGTGGGACCATCAGTGCTCCATAACCTCTAAAATGAAGTCAAAAGTCAGGAAATCAGAGTTCTGATACTTGCTCCACAATCAAAATTCCTCCATAATTTTTGAAAGGCATCAGCAATGTCACCTCACGCCTAGCAGCAGGGTCAAAATTCCTACCAGCTCTAGGGTTAAGCCTATAATTTCTCCAACTTTCATCCAACCTGTCTGTGCAATGAACATCATAGCACCGTAGGTAGTGTTAACATTATGCTTGCCTCCTGGAAGCTTGTCTCCGTCTGAGATTCTCTAAGGCCAATAGAAAAATGCTAAGCATTAACAATGATTTTTTGATGGTGCTGAAGGCTTTTTAAAATATAAAAGCACACCTAGAAGTCCACTCCCTAGAGCTCCCCATTGTTCTTTTCCTCCAGCCTAGTGATTTCTTTACATGACATGTCCAAGAAAAGCACCATGAATATCTCCATAAATAATCAATGACTCATAATGTAAATAGTTCCAGGATATAGGAAAAAGCCATACAGAGCATAATAATTTACAGTGAAATTTCAGTGCATTTGTTAATAGTGTACTGAATTCTCAAATAGTAAAACTAGTGAGAAATTTAGCAATCAACGTTAATAGAAAATACCAATTCCTTGTAACAGTTCTTCATGAAAAAAAAATCTGAAGAACCTCTGAAATGTCACCTCAAAACATGGATGGTTATGCCAAAAGCCATGAAAAAGCATGTGACTAGGCAGTGGTAAGCAGCTAGAGCAGCTGTGCCAAACCTGGGGAAAACTGCTATCCGGAAAACGAGAGAAGGGATGAAAAATATTGCAGTATTTCAACTGGAAGTTGAATGGTGCTGTGTTGGGTGAGATTTTTATATGTGCTGCACTCCCCTCTTCAGTCACGAGGTGGAGTGTGAAGAGCTTGTGTAGACGATGTTATGGGTTGTTCATCGTAGGAAATGTGGAAGAAAGACAGAAAAGCTCTGCTGCAAAGAAGTGCTGGAGATAACGCATTGGAATCTGTCATTGTTTTGAAACACACTTGTTCAGACAGCACAGTAAACAAATTCATTTATTCATATATGAAGGGAGGATGGGAGCTTCAGTGCTTCAGATGTGTCGCATATATAAAAGGCCCATTGATTTTCTATTACCAAAAGAAACAGAAGGGAGCATGGAAAATATGGCCTTCTACAATCAAGATTTACACTTCCTTTGTTCTTCTTATTGTTATGACATTAAATGTAATATATGGAAATATCTAAGAATTTCTGCAGCTCTATCTTAACATTGTTCATATTCCAGCAACTGTTGTCTACCAAAAACTGACAGATGGGAAGAGAGGGAGACCTTTGTGGGGAGGAGAACATTTCTGCCTGTGTTCTGAACAACTGATCACATGCCCTCTCCCTTGAATGCACAAGAAATAGCATCATGTTCCCCAACTATTATTTGGGAATGCAAATTAAAATAGAATGTTTCTAATAAAAAATAAGAGAAGTAAAATCAGGGCTAATAGTCACCATCTTGCAGGGCATCACATGTAACGCATCAAAGTAATTTTGTGAATGTTAAAACATTTGGGTTTTGTTCAAGGGGGATATACCATTGTTCCCCATGTGATTTAATAAAGTAATAATCCTGCCTCTTACTGGGAAGGTAGTACCTCGGTTAAATGCGAGCACCATCATTTTTTCTCACTGTTACCTCGTGCAAGATTCCAATATGCAGTCACTTCCTCTGGGAGGTCAGCATAATCCAAACAGGAGAAGTGGTGATGATGGAAATGAGTAGAATAAAAGTCACTACGAGAACAACAATATATGTCAGAAATGCACGATATTTTATAAAAGCCCTGTTTGATATTTTTATGGTATGTAGAATTACACATGCCACACTGTGTCACTGATCTTTTTGGAGAGAGCTGAGTAAGTTCTAAGTGAAAAGACCTCTGTGAAACCGCTCTGTACCTTCTGTGTGTTTATACTCCCTTGCTTAAATATGTTAGACAGTAAAATTCTAACCTTTCACCTTTCTGGTTTGGGCACTATTCTAGCTCGTGCTAAAGTCTGTGGAAAATTTCAGATTTCAGGATCAATTTCACAAACACTTGATTTTGTTAGCTAGTACCAAGTCTTTATACATCACTTCAGCTAAACTTTCACAGATGTTGGAAATCAGAGTTCCTTCATGCCAAGACAAAGCACTGTAATGCCTAACATTAGCGTGGATTTCACCTTTATCTTTATGCCTGTGAAGAAATTGTGTGTGTGCTGTTAATCTGTATATAGCTAAAGATGAAACATGAAACCCCTTCTTTGGCTGCTGGAGTAACCGAAATTCTCCTACTAAAGCCAAATCCCTTATAGGTTAGAATTACAATACATGAATAATAACACTTAGACCTTTTTATTTTCAAAGAGCCTTAGAAACATTAACTGGCCTTTCCAGGCTCCCCAGTGAACTAGGTCAGTATCATTATTTCTGTTTTACACAAGGAGAAAGTGGGACAGAGAGCCATGCCATTGGCCTGCGTTGCCCTTTCCCAGTGAAATATGCAGGCATGGACAAATTCAGCAGACCATCAGCATGCATCTGTATTGCTTCTCTGCGTCTCTCCTCAGTAACTCTACCACTGTGGTTTTAGAGAAATAAAGTTTCTTCTCTATATCTATATATGAGCAGCGAGAAGAAACGATGGTGTGAGCACAGGGGTAGCCAGGGCCTGGCCAGTTTTTGTCTGAGAGCCTGGGAAGGGGGTGAGATAGTGCAACAAATGATGGTGTGACGGTAGCGGGAGCAGATATGGACATTTTAGCTTCCCAGCCAGTTTGTGTAGCAACAATGCAAACATTACAATGGTACAAATGCTGATGAAGGACTGACTGCCTGGACATTGGGTTGTTTCCTCTCCCCCACTAGTGCACCACTTCATAGCTCCACACTGCTATGCAGACATGCCCCACAGCTGAGCTGGGACAAAGCAAAGTGCACTGACCAGCTTATTCACCCTCAGCTGGTAAAAGAAAACTCACCCCAAAATCATCCAGTTCTCTGCACTTTGCTAGGGCTTGGCACAACTGATGCTGAATGATCCAACCATTGCTGCTTACTTAGATCATGGGAAGTTTTCCCAAATTCTTGTGAATCTTCCTGCTGAGAGATTTTCTGTGCTCATCTTTTCATCATTTTCTGGAGTTGGTCTTCAAATTTTGTTCCACTGCTTTCACTCTCCTTACCCATATCACTCTCTGTATATAGAATCATAGAATCATAGATTAATAGAATGGTTTGAGTTGGAAGGAACCTTAAAGACCATCTAGTTCCAATTCCTTTGTCATAGACAGAAACACCTTTCACTAGACCAGGTTGCTCAAAGCTCCATCCAACCTGACCTTGGACACCTCCAGGGATGATGCATCCACAAGTTCTCTGGGCAACTTGTTCCAGTGTCTCATCACCCTCACAGTAAAGAATTTCTTCCTAGTGTCTAAACTCAACCTATTCTCTTTCAATTTGAATCCATTCCCCCATCCTGTCACCACATGTCCTTGTAAAAAGTTTCCTTCCTTCTTTCTTGTAGGCTTCCTTCAGGTTCTGGAAGGCCACAATTAGGTCATCCTGAAGCTTTCAGTCCTCCAGGCTGAACATCCCAATTCTCTTAGCCAGTTCCCCTGGTGCTCCTCATAGGAGAGGTGCTCCAGCCTTCTGATTATCTTAGGTACCCACAAACCATTTCTCATCTTACTTAACACAGATGTAGAAGTGGTTATGTCGTCTTTCCTCTTCATCATCTATCTGTAGCATATCTGTACCTGAGTGCTTGGTACAGGTTTGGTGTATCTGCATCAAACAATCCACTGCAAACAAGCATCAGTGTCCCTGTCTCAAATCCTTGATGCTACATAACCAGGCTTCAAAGTAATCTGTATTCCACTTCCTAATGTGGTGCTCCACAGCGCATGTTGTGGGATTTTTCCTGCTGCTGTTGTGAGACAGTGTCTGGTAGGTGATGTTCTTCTTCTCCACGGTCTTCCCTGGCAGTGGACAGCCATGGTCCTGGTCACCCACGCAGCATCAAGCGGTCATTAAGGAGATGTCACACATCTGAAGTGAGTGAAAGCAGAATCCAGACTTCAGCATATTAAAAATTATTTTCTGCAAGGCTGCACAGAGCTCACTTCAAAGCTTAGTGACAAAAAAATCTCCTGAGGAGCTCTCACCTGCAAGAGCACAGACTGAGCTAATAAGCTGGGGGGTGAAACGCCATGGTTATCATGAGGAATTTGCACACTGATATTCAGAAATTGCTTTTGGTTGGCCGATATGGAGGGAATCAGGGCTCCTAGGCTGTGCTGATGCACTGAGGTCCCCACATGTCTGTTCTCCACCCTCTAGTCTCATAATTCATAAACAATTGATGCTGCAATGAGTGCTTTACTGTGATGTCTCAAAGGCTTTCTAGATCATCATGGATCCCACCATTAGGTACGGTATCTTTCTAGTGATATAAGAAGGTGGGTAATATTGGCCCCTGTAAGAGCCAATATTTTTTGTTTTGTCACTGTTTTGCTCCAGTGACCACTATGGAAATCTTTACTCCAAGTATTTTTGGAGACATTCCCCCCTTCTTCTCTGCTACTCCAGTTTACGGGCTTTATTACAGAATCACAGAATATTCTGAGTTGGAAGGGACCCAACAGGGATCCACAAGGATCATTGAGTCCAACGCTTCAGTGAATGGCTTCTACAGGGATCAAATCTGTGACCTTGGCATTATTAGCATCATGCTTTAACCACCTGAATTAATCTCAGTTTATTAGGGAGACAGGAGATCAGAAATGTTTCTTAGAATCTGCAGATTACTTTAGTAGGCTGATGGTGAAAGATGCATTTGGGAAGCTGACAGACAGGATGGAAGTGAACATCATACTGGGAGGATGATGAGCACTATCGGCCTCCCAATATTGCATGCCCGGTTTCTCATGGCCTTTGTGAGGCTGAAGCACACCCGCTAGGAGTGGTTTGCTGAACTGGAGAACCTTTTATACTGCCAAGGAGGAGTCCTTGATGAAGAGTTACAGTTGTGCATAATGAGAGAGACAGGGCTGCATTGTATTCCCCCTTCGCATTTTATGTTACCTCTGTAGGCATGTGCTTTTACGTAAGGCTTCATTCGGATTACCACACACCTCTAATTCGTGTGAACGTGCAGCATAGTGGTACATAGATTTTATCAACATTCATATGTCCATTTTATTATATCTTTTGTGGGGATTTTTACTGTACTGCATGGCTGGATTTTATTACCATCAGTGTGTGTGTTTTATGGCAGTGATGCCAGGCATTTCAATGAATTGCGCAAGACTCAGATCCATGAATGTAAAGACATCTTCAAAGGCTTCATAAATAACAGTAAATACACTAAATTGAACATCATGGACAATCATTGTCTTTTACTAAGTGCACATACTACTATGTAAAATTAATAGTTATGAAAAAAACCTGTAATTGGACAAACAGTTGTGCACAAGCAGTCTTTGTTTCCAGGCCTTAGATGCAGCTGCATTATGGCTATTTATCTGTCTATTAGCAACATCTTTGGCAAGAGGTCATTTTCTCAGACGTATCTTGTCTCCTTTTTTCATCAGGTAGGTGTTATGGGAGAGGGAAAGTGAGGAAAACTAAAAACCCCACTGAAATAATGAGAAAAATAATATTTTCCAAATTATTTTCCCAGAGCAGTATAATGATGTTTTTGTACCTGTTCTAGGGTTTCATTCCCATGGGTCCACTACCCTTGTATGAGCTTGGGGCAGCTTTAGCTGACCTGGACTTTGGTGATGCTCCTCACCCAGCAGTATGTTTCCACTGTTTTTTTCCCTGTGACAGCACTAACTCTCGTGAATGCACATGATGCTTCTGTGGAGGAAGCCTGTGGACTTGGTTGAAAGCCAGTCATGAATTTCTTGTGGGATGAGGAACAGGTAAGATATTTCCACAGCCCTTCATGCAGGATCTCCAGGCTTGCAGGGGTGAACAGTGACTCACCATTACAGATTGCTGGGCCAGTCTGGTGAGACGATGAGTAAGTGCCTATGAACTGTGGTTGCTGCTGCTTGCCAAAACATGCCTTACTGGGAGCTGGTAGGATTGTAGAACCCATTCCCACAAAGCTGCTCTCTTGGGGTGATCTCTGAGCCAAAGTAGACTATCTTTGTCTGAAAATCCTATCTGGAATGAAATGAACTGCAAAGCAAAGAGCTCTGCAATGGCATCCTGGGGCAGGGTGGGAAAGCTTTAACATCTTTTTATTGTTTGTTTTAAACTGAGTCCTTGTGGAGCGTGAGCCAGGTGATTTACCTTGTGGTTGGTTCCCGGTGAGAAGTGCTAATGGCACAACACACCGGATTCCATTCTCTGTTTCTGGGCTGCCGGTAAAAGTGTCACCAGTTGAAAACATCTCCCATCAAGCCATTTGGCACTTCTGTCTTGGGCGGAGGTAGACCTTGGCCAGCTGGCAGAAAAGGCAGCTGTAAGCAGCACAGGAGGGACACCACAAGAGTACTGAGTGGGATGCGCAACCACACAGCACATTGGGGTATGTTGGGTTTTTTAGAGAAGAAAAACAGAGAACAAAAAGTCGTAAATTCCCTAGTATGAATGCCATATCGACCAACATATCAACAAGGGTGTCAAAAAGTAAAAATGACATTTCCATGGTGCTACCCAAATCATCTCATTCCTGAGTCCCCTGTATGGCTCTATTGTCACACATCATGTAATGTTTAGTAGATGTGATCCCCTCTGTGGGAGCTGGCTCCCATTAGGGTTTGATGTAGGACTTTCAGCTTCACCTGGCTCATGTAACTGAGGATATTTTGTATTTCAGGAAATCCACGAAAGAGAGTGACCCTTATTTGTCAAAAAAACCTGCCAGCTTCACCAGAGATTCTACTGTCCTTGGTTTTACAGTGCAGCCAGTTCCCCTGGTGTTGATGTGGGTCCCTCTTTAGTCCCTTTTTTCTGGCCTTCCTGTGATGAAAAGTCACTTGCAGGTAGGACTTTGGCTGGGTCTACCCACACCGCTCTCCCTAGAGATCAACAGTCTTGAGTGAAGGAGCTTAACAAAGTAGAGGACAAGACAGCTCCATAAACTCTGGAAACCTACAAGTAAGTAACTCTTGGGAGCTGAAAACGCAAAGGGAGTAGTGGGTTGTGCACCAATACTCAGCATTTTGGTGAGAGCAGGCCTGGTTGACTGTGGAGCAGTAGAGGGTGTACAGGTAAATTAACTGTTGCCCAGGGAGGCTGGCAGTGGTACACCAAATGGATACAACAGGCAGGTAAATTATTATTGTTTTGACCCAGGAATGCAGCCACGTCTATTTTGGTGTAGGTAAACTCATCCCACTCCCCTGTAAAGTGAGCTTCATGGCACTTATGAAATTACCAAGGAATAAGTGTAGTAGAAAACCAAGCAACATAGCATGAATGAATTTGAATAAGGTCAAAATGCATTTCAGTGGCATGACCTCCTACCAATTTAGTATTTTTGGAGCAAGGGGCTTTCCACAGTAGGAACCTTGCTCTCCAGAGGTTGCATTTCAGCACTCCAGCTTCACAGCTTTTGAACACCCAACAGCTCTTCCTGGAGCTGTGAGAAACTCTTCAGAAATCAGCATTTCCTCACAGGTATCTGCCGAAGGCTGGGTCCCTTCTGTCCCTTTCAGGGGTGCAGAAACCGATTGAAAAGGGAATTTCTTCCTGTAGAGGACTTGGCTTCAGTGGAAAGAGGGAGAGCATGTGTGACAGGAGCAAACTCATCTAGCAGAGTGGTGGACCAGGAGAAGTACATGCCCTGACTCTGGGAAGGACTATGACTTCAGCTATGCCTCTGCATCACTCTTTGCTTGCTGTACGATGGGCAGAAGCACAGTTCAAGGGAAAGCAGGAACTACTCAGTGTTAACTCACCCAGGCATGCAAATTACTTGAAAGGGCTCTGCTCTCCTTGGGACTGACTGCCACAGAACAATGTAATTCAAGCCCCCTCCAAGCAAGAGGGGAGCATCGTTCAGTCTTCTCAGAGGGAGTGCAGTGCCATCTCTCTTGACTATTTAGCCCCAGAGCATTCTGCCCATAAATTACAGCCTGGCCCAAATCTTCCACAATGGCATCTCTACCATGCAGTCTTGCTGGACCACCTCTGCGCAAATATTTCAAAATCCAAGC